CGTCATCTGCTTACTGCTGGCGTGGTTCGCGAAACACTCGCCAGTAAACTACACTAACGCCCTCTAATCATACAACGTTGCCAGGTCGCATACAATTTAGTGCTGACGGCGATGGCGAATGGGGCTTATTCATCCGCCAAGAGCAATCGCTATTACATAGGGGGTAAGCGTACATTTTGTACATCTGTATTTACCAGCTGCGCGCGCATATAATGTATATTAATATATAGAATACACGCTTGCCCCCCAAGTGATGACAAGCGCTCCTGGTGGAATAATAAGCCCCATGTACCCAAATAGAACTGACCTATTTTGTGCTTATATTAAGTTGGAGAACTATATGGAATCACACGGAATCAAACTTATCGACGGAAGGCGAAGGACTGGTGGGTTATGATAAAGAAATAAAGGACTGAACTGAAACTGGACTGGCAATATGCGCCCGCACCTATACTGACCCTCACCTTATGCTAGGTTATACCAGGTTATACGCTGAGTATACTTGATCATTAATTATAAAATAAATATAGCGTATTTCGCTATTTTGCATTCCCTAATAGTACAGAGCGGCTAAAAACATTTTTTAGACTATTTTAAAACGTTTTAAAGACTTACAAACGTTTTTAGAACGTTTTAAAAACCTTGTGTGCTATTGGGGATTAGCATACACCTCCGTCACTGGGAGTAAAATTGCAAACGATTGGTTGCTGTTCCAACCCTCCAGGCAATACTTCAAAGGCAAAACTATTGTTTAATTAAATTTTTGCAGACTGCCTGTTTTTTTACTCTTTCATTAAGAAATTAAGCAAAGATCTTAGCATTTTTTTGCGGTTCAATTGCAAAACCTGCAAAAGATGCCGCAATTTTAAGTATTTTTTATTTATTACTACGTGCAAGTTGTTAACACAGTTCACGGAGCTCTTACGAGCGCATGTGCCAGGGCGCCAACGGAGGCCGACCCGCTTGGAATAAGTATATGATTGGCTCAGTGGCTCGGCCCCCGTCAACATCCTGGCATATTTTTTCTATATTTTTCTTATTATTTTAATCATGTTTCCCACGAAAAAATATACAAAAAATACCTTCAAATGGGTTAAAAGAAGCAAACTCAAAGTAACAAAATTTTCATTATTTTTTTCTTATTTCTTACTATCAAATTAACACGAAATAACACTAATATCGCACTCATACATGAAATGATTTTTTTGACTTTTGAGTTCCATGTATCAAAAAGTAGACAGGTAGGAATTTTTTAATTATTTTTCCCGTTTTTCTCGGATTAGTATCTTTAAAAAATCACACTCAGATCATGGCGCCATAGAAATTGGAATCTCCCTCATTGATTGACTACTAAACAATATGTATCTTTTAAAAAAATAAACAACTATTGATTAGAAAATTTTTTTTTTGCATGGAGATAACAAAAATGAATGGAATACTAATTATAAGCATTCATGATTATAATCAATAAAGAACAATTTTTTTGGTACAACTCTTAGAATAATTGTGATGAAGTAAATGTATAATAATTTTTTATGAAACAGTTGAATATTTGAAATATTGTGAGTGATATTTATTTATTGATGTGTATGTGATCCTTTCATGAATAACTTACCGAAGTATTAAGTGAATATACACATTCGTAAGTTAAGAAAAAAGTGATTGTATTTATTATCTGCAATCATTCTACTAATAGTAGTGTTTGTGTAGGTGAACACTCACATATATACGTATGTATGTAGTTGTAAGCTCTTTATCAGATACAAATGATGAAATATTATTTTTTATACAATACTTATTTAGACCACAAAGCATTTTTATCTTTAAGAATTTTTTTTTTTTTTTTTTTGCAACAACACTGCACTTTTTGCAACACAATAATTTGTTAATGTTTTCATAAATTATCTACCTATTTCAATCCACCTTGTTTCAAATCGATCGAATTTCTAATACCTGTATATTAAAAAAAAAGTTTGATCGGTGTATTTATAACACACCGATACAATTAGAACAAATGACAAAAAACTTGCTTCATTGCGATTTTTGAACAATGTATCGTTAATTTGACATTATTTGTCACCTCCAAAATTAGATCGAATTCAGGACGATGTTCCTTAAACATAGATAAATCAAATTAGCTAAATCCTATCCTGTGCGTAATTACATTAGCGTTTTAATTAATTTTTTATGAAAAATCAAGTTTGTAACATTAAAACATTAAACTGTAACATGGATACATATAAATAAAAATAATATGCACATTAAGTTTTTGATAATATGAAGTTTTAGTTGCTTTTAATATTATTTTTTCTTTAAAACGTTGCGTATTATCTAGGTTGAAGACAAAATTGTCAACTTTTATTGAAATATGAAACATATTTCCATTAACAGGAACAAACGATTTCTACCTTTTTTGTGGTAAATAGGGCTACCAGCAAGGTCCACGGTGTAATATTCTATAAGATTATTCGCTATTTTTTGATTGAGAATAAAAACATCATGTCATGCTTTTCTGTATATATTTATTAATGCAATTGTTAAACGTATTGAGTGTTTAAGAGACAAAAACCCAGATTGGTATAGTACTACCTCAAGGGAGTTATGGATATATGTTAACAAATTATATGGATAAAATAATTATGATGGGAGTAGTAGACAATATTTAGAAAAGACTAGAACAAATATTGGAGCGTTGCTCTAACTTATGAAAAAAATTAAAATAAGTTTCATTAAATATATTATAATATTGGTCGTCACTTAATAAAATTCATGACAGGTTGATTAAATAAAACGACCGTTTATAAATAAGTCGATCTTCATTTTATTCGTTTATTAGAAACGTTACGGCCGTTTTGGTATCACAGTACCTTCTTCAGACATGTGTACAGCAAGACTAAACGATATACTGCACTTATATTCAAAATATATACACTTGTCATAAAAGTTCCTAAACAACGTAAAATTACATACGAATACGTACATAGTCAACGTAGGTGCAGGTACATATGATTCATATTTAGTAATGGTGAACTATTAAGACATATCATAATATTCAATAAGATGTCTAAATTTTTCAATTTATTAATCTCTAATGCTTCTAATAAATCCAGTTTTTTACTCTTATTACATGTGTGTAAAATTTACAAATTTTCATCATAAATATGTTTACATTCTATTAAATAGTTTGCATAACTGGAAGTATCTTAACTATTTTCGTAAACATTTTTGCCTTCTTTTAATCTATATTTAAAAGCTCTACCTGTTTTTCCTCTACATTTTTTATCACAAGATCCACAGGCGAGTTTATGAGAACATGATTTTTTTTCTTTTTCTGTTTTGTTTTTGTTGTTTTTTTATAATTGTTTGTAAACTTTTATGAGATTTGAACACTATTTTTATACAGTATTTTTTAATTTATTGCTTTTTTTTTTGTGATTGTCTACCAGTGTATGTTATAACAAAATACTTATTTTCTGTTACGGGCGAAGGAAAAACATTTACTATTGTATGACATCAACCACTTGATGCCACGTTTGTGTGAGTGTATCGAAGGCTAATCGAGCTGAATGCTCCGCGCGTGCAGTGTGCCTGAAGCGCATGCGTCGCGCTAAAGAGAGAGTGGACTGTGCTCCGAGCCTCGCATCGTTGCGGCCAGTCTGCGTTGAACATCAAGCGCGAGAGCCAGATGTTGTTACGCTGAGCTTCTCCATCACTCCTGTAACTAGACTGCGTGCAACAAGAAAAATAAAGTTGATCTGAATCTACCTTGCTGCATTTTGAGTGTCTTGTTTTGTGCATAACGATACCCACCCTTCTCCCCTCAACGTCCAGTGCATCATCTCCGCATCAACGCCGTCCCTCAGGCATTGATAGCGTACAAGGTCCTTGGAGCTGGATATAAGGGGAAGAAGAAATCGTGTCGTCTCGTTTTTCTGTCCGCCATTTTCATCAGCGCTCCCGGCGCATGTGGCCGCCACACGCCAAGGTTGCCGAATTTTCTACTTGCCTTTGGCCAATCTACGTCGGTGCTGCGGACGTCGTCACCACGCATGCTGTTGCTGCTGCACTCCTCTGCGAGCCATCATCCCGCCAAGGGTGCTGAGCCCCAGCTCGTACTTGGCTCCTCCGCCATTTACGGTGCTGCGGACGTCGTCGCCGCGCCAGCCATTGCTGCTGCGCTCCTCCACAAGTCATCTACGTCGGTGCTGTGGACGTTGTCACTGCGCACGCCGTTGTTGCTGCGCTCCTCCGCGAGCCATCATCCCGCCAAGGGTGCCGAGCTCCAGCTCGCACTTGGCTCCACCACCATTCACAGTCAGCGAAGCTTGGCGAGCCTCGCGAGTTCTCCGCTCGTAGACGGCCATTTTGTCTGTTTGCAGGTGATCGGCCTGCTATAGATAATCGTCGTCCGTCGACGCTCTGCTTCTACGTTGCTGCTGTTGCGCCGCTGCGCGCGCACGTCTTTCTCGCAGAGTTGCTGTCCCTGTAGCTGTTGCTGTTGCTGTCCCTGTCTTTCAGCGGATCACCCACTAGCTACGCTTTGAGCATCATCGCTGGCTGCCCATGCGGGCCGTACGCCTGCTATTCACTGACGCTGCGGGTCCTCTCCGAAACCTGTGCTTCTGCCCCACAAGTGCACGAGAGATCGACATTCAGGTTAATTACAGTGTTTGCCTTGTTAGTGTTTTATTAACTTATAATATACTAATCGCCCTTGAACCTTACACTCTATTAGTCGGAGCACCAAGGCTGGCTTCGGCTGCTGGTGCTCCGATTTTTCATTACAAGATGTGTATGCATTAACTCTCACGTGATTCATGTACCGAAGCTAATCGCTTTTCACTATGCGCGTGTCCCCTCATTCGATCTCGTGCTACGGGTTTGTTCCATCTCTCCTTTAAACAATGGCCGATATAAAAACCCTTTACGATCAGCAGCTAGCGCTTTATCGGAAAATAAAGAACGCCTACAACAATTTTAAAAAACTAGGCGAAGCGAAAATGACCATGGGTCAATGCATGACTCGAAGCAAAGTAGTTAAGGATTCGTATGATCAGGCCTTGTCGATTCACAATCAAATTCTGGGTCCTGATGAAGATATTAGTCAACATAACTACATTAAAAAAAATTATATGGACGTAATTGAAGAAGCTTACTGCGCGGTCGCGAGTGATTTTGAAGACTATGCGTCCCGACTAGGACCCGTTCGAATGACCGCTGACCCTGGCTCTGCTTCTGCCATTGCCTTGCATAGCTTGTCCTCTTTGCCCTCTGTCAATATTACGACATTTTGCGGTGACTTTAAGAGTTGAGAGAGCTTCGGTGACGTCTTTGAGGCTCTAGTTCATCTCAAAACCGAGCTCCCGGCTGTTATCAAGTTCCAGCATCTGCGAACTCATGTCACTGGAGATGCTATTGACCTGTTAAAAAATATTTTCCTCTCGGGTGATAACTATACTCAAGCCTGGAACATTCTTGTCAATTTTCATGACAATAAGCGTCGTCTGGTTACCTCCTACACCAGCACGGTCCTCAATTGTCAGAACATGAAGTCCAACTCCTGCCCGGAAATGAAGCGTTTTTTTAAAGAGATGTTGGGTCCCCTCGGCTCTCTTGTTGCTTTGGGTAGAGATAACTGGTGCGAAGACATCACCATCGCTCTTGTGGTCAGTAGGTTCGATAACTCTACCAACCGAGAGTGGCAGAAGCACCTAGGTAGCAGTGATGAGCCACCTACTCTTTCTTGTTTACGTGAGTTTATCGCCGCCCAAATTATCACGATGGAAACGTTAGAGTCAGTTAAACGGAAGCCTACGTCCCAAGATACGTCAAAATCCAAACCAAAGTCTTCATTCATGCATCAAATCGCCACTTTTAACGATTCAGGCTCCATTAGTTGCTTTCTCTTCGGCAAGCCCCATCGTTTGTTCTCCTGTCCAACCTTCCAAGGTAAACCTCTGAAGGAAAAACGGCAGCTCGTAAACGACAGGCAACTTTGTCTCAATTTTCTTGGTCAACACTTTGTAAAACAGTGTAAGAGTAAGTTCTCGTGTTCGGTTTGTCATGGAAAGTATCATACCCTATTGCATAAGGAAGAGGCCAAGTCAAGTCCTTCGAAAGACTCAACCTCTTTTGATAAGCCCACCGGTGGTCCTGAACAATCTCATGAACTCCTACCCGATCAAAGCTTCTGCGATAACGTAAACTTATTGCGTAGCGAGGGCTTACCTTCAGGACCCAAGGTTCTTTTAGCTACCGCTCGAATTTACGTTCGAGGCCCTTGTTGACCAGAATTTTTAAAGTTCTCTGGTGACTCGTTCTCTTTTCGATATATTTAAACTTAAGACGCAGTCGGTTAGCATCTCATTAGCTGGCGTAGGGGATTCGCCCTCAACTCATGTTACGAGAAGGACTTACTTAAACTTTCGACCACATTTTGATTCGTGTTTCAAGTGCGACACTGAGGCCCTGATTGTTCCTAAGATTTCTTCGTATAAGCCTTCTACTTCAATAAGCTTAGTAAATATTCCACACATTCAGGAACTTCAACTAACGGACCCTGATTATCGCTCCCTAGATAAAATAGACGTTATGCTAGGAGCTTCTGTTTACGCCTACATAATTCAAAATTCAATTCGACGAGGCTCCCTCGATCAAACCATCGCTTCAGCCTCTCGGATCAGATGGTTATTATCAGGACCTGTTTCCTTCGTACCAGAGAGTGTCCCTTCCTTCAAGCAAGCGAGTCATTTGATCACCGCGCCTGAAGAAATCGCAGTGATGCACGTTTCCAAGGGCCCTGATCTCGATAAAGTTATGCAACGATTTTGGCTGGTCGAGGAACCTCTCTCCAAGCCTGAGCTGAAGGGAGACGATCTTCGTTGCGAGGAGCATTTCAACTTCAGGCACTCTCGATCCCCTGACGGCCGTTTCGTGGTCAAACTTCCGTTCAAGGGCGAAACTGTTGACACTCTTTCGCTTCGTGAAGGCTCATACAAAACTGCGCTCTCCATGTTTCGTTAGCAGGAGAAAAGATTCAGGAACGATCCTTGCTTGTTTGAGTTGTGCAAATCCTTCATGTCTGAATACATAGCTCTCGGCCACATGCGTGAGATATTGGACTCCAGATCGGCGAAGAGCTTTCTCCCTCATCATGGGGTGTCAAGGACCAAGTGCTCTTCACCTAAGCTTAGAGTCGTCTTCAATGGCTGAGCCAAAAGCAAAAATGGATTATCCTTGAACTCCTTACTCCACACCAGCCCAAATCTCATGGTAAATCTTTTCGAGTTGACCATCAAATGGCTTACAGATTCGTCTTAACTGCCGATGTGGAGAAGATGTTTCGGCAAATCTCGGTCCACGAAGACTACCAAGCTTTTCAGGCAATCCTTTGGAGACCTGACACCTCTTCTCAGCTTAAAACATACTTACTGATAACAGTCACGTATGGTCTTGCGTGTTCCTCTTTCTTGGCAACTCGCGTCTTGCGTCAACTGGCCTTCGAGCATGCTGAATCTCATCCCCCGGCCTCAAGGATCCTACGCGAGGAAACCTACGTAGATGATTGTTTTTTAGGCGGTCATTCAGTGGCGGAGATCTTGGTCAAATGTGAGGAGCTCGGTAATCTGACGCAAATTGGTGGATTCTCTCTGCGCAAATGGTCTTGCAATTTGCCGCAGGCTCTCGAGAGCATCCCTATAACTCATCGTGTTAATCAACCAAAGATCCTGGAGACAAACGGAGAGTCTATATCTGTCCTTGGACTGTCTTGGGATCCCAAATCCGATGAATTTGCATTTAAATTCACGATCGATCAACTCCCCAGATTTTGGACCAAGCGGAGCTTGTTCTCTCAAGCTGCTCGGTACTACAATCCTTTGGGCTGGTTTTCGCTGATTATTATAGTTCCCAAAATGTTGCTACAGTCACTGTGGTTGCTTAAGATAGCGTGGGACACGCCGCTTCCAGCCCCTGTTGTTGAAACCTGGGTGAAGTGGCTGAATGAGATACCTGAGATCGATTAGTGAGAGTCCCTCGATGGTATCATTATTTTCCTGGTGCTCAGCTGGAAATCCATGGCTTTGCCGACGCCTCTAAGGCAGCCTACGCCGCTGTCGTTTACACCCGCCTCCTCAATGGCAGCAATGTACACGTGTCGCTCCAAGTAGCCAAGACCCGAGTCACCCCCTTAAAGGTATTGAGCATTCCTCGACTTGAGTTATGCGCTGCTCATCTGCTTGCAAAAATCGTCAAACATTTTGTAGATACTTGCCATTATAACGGAGCTCCTGTACACTTATGGACAGACTTCCTGAACGTTCTTCACTGGCTTAACGCTCCGCCGTCCAAATGGCCGGTCTTTGTTGCAAACAGATGTTCAGACATCCACACCCTGGTGCCCAGAGCCAAATGGCACCACATCACGTCAAGACAAAACCCTGCTGATCTGGCCTCTTGAGGCATCATGTCCAGTCAATTCGTCGCCAAATGGATCTGGTTCCACGATCCAGATATCTTACATGAAACTGACCCTCAGTACCCTGAGCTCAAGGTTGAAGTTATTGAGCCACTGCCCTCGTTCCATCTAGTATCAAATTGCTCAGAAGAAAGACCTGATTCTTTCGTTAAAATCCTTCTTGGTCGTTGTTCACATTGGCTTCGGCTTTTGCGAGCAGCGGCTTACGTCATGCGTTTTGCCTTTCGGTGTCACGAGAGTCTGAGAAAGTCATCCTCACCACTCACTATATAGTCCACTGCTCTAGAATTTTTTTGTCGTGATCCGTTCATCCAGGTTTCTTCTCCAAGCTTGACAACTAATCAGTTAGACGCCCCTTTCTTGTTTTTAGTTTTTGATCATCAACGGCGAAATTTTGCGCCTGACATCGCAGTTATTAAACGCAACATCGACATTCCTATTGGTCAACAAGAATGTCTTCCCGCCTCTAGCCGATTACAAAAGTTAGCTCCTTTTCTGTCTGACGGGTTGTTACGAGTTAAAGGCAGATTAAGCAACGCCTTGCTTGATTCTGACGCCAAACACCCTCTGATTTTGTTTGGCAGAAACCCTCTAACCTTGTTACTTACCCAACAATATCATCTCATTACTCTTTACCGAGATATACATTTAACCTTGACCGCGTTTCGTCGGAAGTACTGGATTATAAACGGTCGATAGATCGTAAGTTCCGAGTTGGTTCACTGCTTGACCTGTCGCCGATATGCTGCTCGACCACAGACTCAGCTGATGGCTGATCTCCCGAGAGCCCGGGTGATTCTTTCACCGGCATTCCAAAAGACAGGTGTCGATTATGCCAGGCCTTTTCCCATTCGTCTGGCAAAGTATCGCGGGCGAGGCACCCTCAAGGGTTACATTGCTGTATTTGTCTGCATGGCTACCAGAGCTGTACATCTGGAAGTCGTCGAAGATTACACTTCCGATTCCTTTATTGCGGCTTTCTAACGATTTACATCTAGACGAGGTCAATGCACTGATCTATACAATGATCGGGGCACTCATGTGGGAGCTGACCGAGAACTAAAAGCAATGTTAAGGGATCGGCACAAGAACGTGCCCTTCGCTGATGCTCTCTGTGTTGTGGGCACACAGTGGCACTTCAACCCCCCTTCCGCCCCACATTTCAGTGGTCTGTGGGAAGCTGCGGTGAAATCGACGAAATTCCATCCAAAAGGAGTCATCGGAGAACAGATTCTCACGTTCGTCGAATTCTCCACTTGGTTATGTCGGATTATGTCATGTTTGAATTCAAGACCCCTGGCACCCTTAACTGATGATCCCATGGAATCCCCTTACGCCTTCTCACTTCTTGATGTTTAAGCCCTCCTATTCAATACCAGAGCCGGACCTGACTTCTAAACATATATCACCCCTGCACCGGTGGAAGCTAATGTCCCAAGCTGTCCAGTGTTTTTGGCGCAGTTGGTCAGCGGAGTATCTAAACTCCCTCCAAACTAGTGAGAAGTGGATTTCCCCCAAAGGTCGTTAGAAATAGGACATCTTGTTTTGATTAAGGATGAGCCCACTCCCCCGGCAAGTGGCCCCTTGCGAGAATTATACACATTTTCAAGGATCCTAAAACGCTGGTGCAAGTCGTAAGGGTTAAAACTCAGAATACTCAATTAACTAGGCCTATCCATAAGTTAATTCTGCTACCTACCGTCTGCGAGATCGAATCAGTGGGCACTACATAGGTTTAATTAGTTACTAAGAGGTACCATTATTGTACTTGCGGCTTTACCTCAAGAACTTTCGTTATTTGTGTCTTGTTTTTTTTGTGATTTCAATTAATTTGAATTTATTTTTATTGTTTAATTAATAATGAGAGTAAGTACTTTGAACCTGACTAAAAACAGGAACTATATTTGTTATCCTTCTCCCTCTTCAGGCGCTACAACTGTACCTATAGTTTTGATTGTAAGTGGAAGCGCTCCACGGTATTTTTTATGCATTGCGTACTATTATTTTCAATTGATTCTGTTATTTACTAACTCGCTTGTGAGAGTTTGCTAGAGATTTTCATTCATTTATTTTGTTATTTTGATGTTCGTTCGTTTCGCCTTCTGTACATCAACTCGGGAAGCAAGTATGACATGAAACACTTGATGCCACGTATGTGTGAGTGTATCGGAGGCTAATCGAGCTGAGTGCTCCACGCGTGCAGTGTCCCTGAAGCGCATGCGTCGCGCTAGAGAGAGAGTGGACTGTGCTCCGAGCCTCACGTCGTTGCGGCCAGTCTACGTTAAACATCAAGCGCGAGAGCCAGACGTTGTTACGCTGAGCTTCTCCATCACTCCTGTAACTAGACTGCGTGCAACAAGAAAAATAAAGTTGATCTGAATCTACCTTGCTGCATTTTGAGTGTCTTGTTTTGTGCATAACGATACCCACCCTTCTCCCCTCAACGTCGAGTGCATCATTTCCGCATCAACGCCGTCCCTCAGGCATTGATAGCGTACAGTTACAGCTATTTTATATTTTATTTTTTTAACCATATTCTCTATAATGGAAGAATTATAATTATCATTCCATGTTATTTGTTTGATAATATTGAATTCTTTATTGTAATTTTCGGGGATTAAAGGTATGGAGAGAAGACTATGTATGTAGTTGTAGTAGGCGGACATTTTAGGTGAATATGAGTAAATTAAAATATTGTGTATTGTAATTTCTGTGTGAGTGGATTTATGAAAAATACTGTATGAAATTTTGTTTCATACTATCTTTTTTCTCATGGTTCATTACAATTTTAGCTAAAAATCAGCAGTAAATTATTGTTATGGTACCGTTACGTGGATGACCTAATTTGCTGTTCAAATAGTAGAAACAGACAATAAGATATATATTTGAAACACATTAACTTATCACACAAAAATATTGAATTCGCAATAGAACAAGAAAACAACAAAAAAAACATTTTTTAGATTTAGCAATACATAGAGTAAATAATCAACTTAAATATAGTATTTTTTATACATTAACCCATACAGACGTTACAATACACAATATTTCAATTTACTCATATTCACCTAAAATGTCCGCCTACTACAGTTACTACTCGTACATAGACTTTGCTGCATACCCTTAATCCCTGAAAATTACAATAAAGAATTCAATATTATCAAACAAATAGCATTTAATAATAATTATAATCCTTTCATTATAGAGAATATGGTTAAAAGAATAAAATATAAAATAGCTGTAAGAAATGTTTTTCCTTCGCCCGTAACAGAAAATAAGTATTTTGTTATAACATACACTGGTAGACAATCACAAAAAAAAAAGCAATAAATTAAAAAATACTGTATAAAAATAGTGTTCAAATCTTATAAAAGCTTACAAACAATTGTAAAAAAACAACAAAAACAAAACAGAAAAAGAAAAAAAATCATGTTCTCATAAACTTGCCTGTGGATCTTGTGATAAAAAATATAGAGGAAAAACAGGTAGAGCTTTTAAATATAGNTTTATATGACGTGGGAAGCAGTGAGATACCTCTTAAATTTTTAATGCAACTAGTATCCCCTTTCTTATACAATGGTGTGACGATAGCTACCCTCTAATGTTCCAGCTTTTTCTCACAATTCCACACTTTTTTGAATAACATCACCAGCCTATAAAAGAAAATCTTGTCCATAATATTTATTATAAAAATTTTTAAATTTTACACACATGTAATAAAAGTAAAAAACTGGATTTATTAGAAGCATTAGAGATTAATAAACTGAAAAATTCAGACATCTTATTGAATAATATGGTATGTCTTAATAGTTCACCATTACTCAATATGAATTATATGTACCTGCACCTACGTTGACCATGTCCGTATTCGTATGTAATTTTACGTTGTTTAGGAACTTTGATGACAAGTGTATACATTTTGAATATATGTGCAGTATATCGTTTAGTCTTGCTGTACACATGTCTGAAGAAGGTACTGTGATACTAAAACGGCCGTAACGTTTCTAATATACGAATAAAATGATGATCGACTTATTTATAAACGGTCGTTTTATTTAATCAACAAGTTTTATTAAGGATTTTAAAAAAAGGAAAGAAAATAATGTTTTACTACAACTAAACTAAATCTTTAAATTTAAAGAGAGTCCTGAAAAATTACTAAGAATGCTTTCGATTGACAAAAAAATTTTTTTAATCATCTTACTACCATATACAACAAAGTCGCAAAAACCGTCGTTATCACTAACCACGAAAACTACTTAACCGTTTTTTCTAAAATTTTACATCGTAATTCTTGACACTTTTTACATGGTTTTAGTATAGCTTAAACTTGAAAAAATTATAAACAATAGCAATAAACAAGCTTCAAATTTTTTAATTATACGCTAGCTTTTCACTTTTGTTTAGTACAATCGTCTAGGTAGCGTAGAAGTAAAATCAAAGCTACCTGCAACAGAATGAAGTAAATCTAGTTTTAATATTCCCAAGAAAATTACCTATTACCATAGTCGTTCACCGGCGCTGCATTAAGTATAGAACTGGGAGTCG